CAGATTGGTCGTGGGTCAAGCCACTTCGTGGATTCATCAGCTGTCCTTAGATATGTCCTGTATCCCCTCCATGGGAACTGCGAAACGGCATTTCCAAGATCCTTATCTTCCAACTTCCGTAAAAACTCGGGGGGACCACTTTCTTGTCTTACTTCCATCTCAGACAAGTTGAATCATCTTGAGTCAATGTTGACGCCAGTGCTCTGACTTCGTGTGGGTTGGAAGCTCTAGGAGGTTCTAGTGCTGCTGCTTTATAGGCTCTCAATATGACGGCTCTCATCCAGAACGAATTCGTGGTTCTTGAGACTTCTGCTGATGTCTCTGTGGATAATGGGATGAACAGGCGCTTGAAGTTTCGTCTCCTTGTCTTAAGTCTTTTGAAGATATATCTTCAGGGCTCTGACCGGACACAAGGATAGGTCCTCTATGTCCTCTGGTCCGAGGATTGTAGATAGCACTGGTACGTGGAACTGTCTATCTGGCTGACCAGGTAGTAAGTTCTTGGCAATGAAGTCCCATCTAAGTCCTAAGTTCGACCAAAGTCCAGCGCATGCACCTCTGATATTCGAGCTCCCGTGGCTAGCACAAGCAGGAACAGAGTCTTCTGTGTCAGCAGCTCGAAGGTAGTCTGGTCTAGAGGTTCGTAGGCATCACTTGTAAGATGACGTAAAATTACATTCAGATCCCAGGCCGGAGCTCTGAACTTCTTTTGCTGGTCCTCCAGCTTAAAAAGATCTCAGCAGAGCAAGTAATTCTGGTACTTTCGTCAACTTGATGCCTGTTTTCATGGTAATCACTGTACTGATGGCAGCGAGGTATGTAGATAATGTCGAACCTTTCAGATGTCTAGTCTGTCTAAGATGTCACAGGTATTCCGCCACTTGATGATGAGTAGCTTTCATCGTAATGAAGTCTTTCCGCCTTGCATAAGTCTCAACAAACTTCAGCCACTTGTCATCATACAGGTTATGAGGAGATCTGCGTAACGCTAGCGTTACTGCCTTGGCTGCCCTGGCAGAGTATCCTCTTTTCTTCAAACATGTTTTGATACGGTCCACACTTGTAGTTGGAACAGTGTTGGGTTCCTGTGGACTTGCTTGGTGTGCGGATGTATGAGTAGGTTCGGCCAATCTGGTAACTTGATTGTTGGACTTCCGAGATCTTCTATTAGGTTTAGGAACCATACTCTCGCTGGCCAGTATGGCGCGACCAAAGTCAGTTGTAGCGTCTGCGTCTTTTGTATCTTCACCAGTACTTTCGGTAGTAATATCAGTGGTGGAAACACATAAGCGTTTAGTCCTTCCCATGATATGTTCAGTGCATCTGTTGCCCAGGCTTGAGGATCTGGAACTGGTGAGACAAACGTCTGTAGATGTTTGTTGAACCTCGTGGCAAACAGGTCTATGCATGGGGATCCTATTTCCCTTATGATGAGCCGAAATGCTTCCAGATGTTTGCCTCCTCCGACTGGAATATGAGCTGTAGTAGGCTTGGTGATCTTGTAGATCCTTGCCGATTTACAAAAAAAAGCCACAGTAGAGTTGTCTGTGTGGACCATCAGCATTCTGTTGATCAGCGAGCTCGACCATAGTTGTAAGGCGTTGATCACGGCTTTCATCTCCAGCAGATTGATGTGAAGATGCTGCTCTCTTTTGGACCACTTCCTTGATGCAACATGATTGTTGAAATGTGCACTCCAACCTTGTATCCATGCGTCTACGTAGATATGTGTGTCGAAGGCCGGCTCTTGTAAATAGGTCCTTCCGCAGACATTCGACCTGTGGGTCAACCAAAGTAGGTACCTCTTAAGATTGTCTGGCAGCAAGATAGGGTTGACGCTGTCCAGATGTTTTGTGAGGAACCGTTGCAGCGGCCTTAGTTGTAACCTTCCTGTGCGAGTCAAGTCCTGCGCCGAGGTTAGTAGATCGAGTAGACATTGCCATGTTCGTAGTGTTAACGGAGAGATGACTGCTTGTGGACTCATGGCTTGTATCTTGACCCAATGATCTTCTGGGACCACAATTCGATTCTGTGTTGTGATCATTCTTATTCCCAGCAATTGAAGATCTTGTTTGATTCTAACTCCCACTTCATCAGGTTCACTAGCCATCCTAGTTGCGTGAGCAAATTAATTGTGAAGTTCAGCTGCTGTCTGAATTGATTGGCACTTTGAAGAACCTGTATGCCGTCGTCCAGATAACCGGCACTGCGTAGACCTCGATGCTGCAGATAGGTGCAGATAGGTGCCGATAGGCTTGGTTATTCGTATAAATAATCATAGAGCCAACGATATACCGTAGGACGTTCCATTGGAAGTGCTAACCTCTGATTGCAGTGATGATACATCATTCTTCCCCTTATATACGCAGACATCTGTGTTCATGAGCATACATCGAAGCGTTGCCTATTTATAGCAACACTGGCTCCAGTGTAGCATCGCAGGGGACAGGTACTCATACCGACTTTTATCAGCGACAGCTTCCAAAATAAACATTGTTTATGCTGCTGTCAAGGCTAGACATCTATTAGATTCCCATGATGATAACAGGCCGTAGTTGTATACTGTTTCCAAGGCTGCCGATGAAGTATTCCCCTGTACCACGGGTTTGTTTACAAGTCAGTAAACTTGCTTGTGCCTGCTCTGTCAGTGGGAGGCGTTGTCTGACGTGGACCAATCAGCTTCAAGCATGACGTCACCGGTGTTGTAGCAAGTTGGCCTCCATAAAATCTGGTGCAATTAGTTGGATGAGTAAAAGCGCGCGTAGTTCTACGCCGCTCATATAAACTTCTTGAATAAGGGTTGCTCCAAGTGTAAATTCTTGTTCAGTGATATAAATCACATATTCCCATTGTGGATAATACAAACAAGCATGACGAAGGAGGCTGTCGAGACGTATGTCTCTATGGATCTTGAAGAAATACCGACGTTGAATCTAGTTGATAGGATATAAAATCCTAATCCCCACGCTGAGTGACGAGTGTTCATAATAACATCTGTACGTCCGTTCAAGGATTCTTGAAGGCGTTGTTAACCTTAAGCCCTTTACAAAGGTCGCCTTGAGGTTCTCCAGTACTTGAGACATCGGCTTCATAGGTGATGTCATATTGGAGTCGAAGTCATCAGCGTATATGCAGTACGTCTCTGTTGGGTTGGAGTGAGTGAGTGAACTACAATATCCGCCGGCCATCTGCTACCCGGTATTAGACCTCAGCATCCGTAAAGATGAAGGTATTCCTTTCATCAAGTAGGTTGCCGTCCGAAACTGAACCTATACAGGTTGTAGAGTTGTGCAGGCTGTAAACTGTAGAGATCACACATGTTGTAGATCTTTTTTGTTGAGTTGACGTCAACATCCTGCCTGTTGATGGAAGGGTTTGTTAACCCTAGGGTTCGTGAACCCTGTAGATGTCTGCAATGCTGTTTTCTGCCTGTAGATCTGAGAGTTCTCGAACCTTGTAGATGTCTGCAGCTTTCTCAAAGCTGTGCATAGGTTAGAAGGTACCTTGGATATTGGTTCAATCGGAGGAATAATCACTGAGTCAAATTCGTCTTTAAGCATCTTATAACTGTAGACTTCATCTATATTTTTAGGAGGAGACTCCATGTTCAAACCATTGGCTATCCAAGCTGTAACCTCTGAGTCCGGGAAGACGAAGTCTGGTTATTCATCAGTTGTCTCCTGATCGGTAGAGCCAAGCCTCCGCGAATCATCCTTCTGCGAACCTAAATCCCTTCTCAAACCTCCATCATCCTTTCGCGAACTGAAGATTCCTCCCTTCGCGAACGTCTATCTTGAGAGTCCTCTCTTCGCGAACCTCTATCTGTGGATTCATCTCTTCGCGAACCTCTGTGACGTGAGCCTACTCTTCGCGAACCACTGTCGTTAGATGTATCCATCGTGAACCTCTGTGATGTGAGCCTTCTCTTCGCGAACCACTGTCGTTAGATGTATCCATCGTGAACCTCTGTGATGTGAGCCTTCTCTTCGCGAACCTCTGTCTCGTGATGAGTGACTTCGCACTTCCTCCTCCAAGATGATAAAGTCGTCAGACTGTGGAGACCTTCGCAAAGGTGTACCTTCGCCAACGTAGTCTTGAGACGTAGTTCTATGAGGAGTAGGTTTGCGCGCAGGTCCATGGGTTCGCACAGGTCCATGGGTTTGCGCACGATGTCAGTAGATGAGAGGCTTCGCTGAGCCTTCGCTTCTTCCGCGAACCTACGTTCCATCTGGTTGGTGAATTGTCTCATAACCCGGATCAAGTTCTGCGTTGATTGAAGCTGCTGCGGTGTAGAAGAAGCGTTTGCGAACGCTGATGAGTTGTGTGCCTCGACTTGGTGGTAGTTCATCAAACAGCTGGCCTGCTGTGACCGTTGCAGGAGACGATCTAGTAGTCATGGAAGTCGATCGAGTTGCCGATCTCGTAGGTACTTCGGGTAAAAGTAACGGATCAGCCACGGATAACTTGTGCCTGCAAACACTGCAAGATTTCATGAAATGTAAACAAAGTTACATAACGATGAAATTATGACACAAATACAAATAATTTTTACAAAACTTTTACATATAATACAAAGTAGTTATTGCCAAATCCATACACAGCGTAGTTTTGAAGAATAGGACCTAAATAAAAAGGATATAATGCAGTATACGGGACTCCAGTGCTCGCCCAAACATCCACTTGGGCGAAAAGGGAGAGAGTGACAAGTAAGGCTGGTCACATGACTGTTTACGCGGGAAAAGGGAGGTAACTCATGGGTGAGTGTATTTTTACGTCCACTTCGGGAACTTCAAGGGATTCAAGTGTTCCACTACCATTCGCAAGGAAAAGGGAGATAAGCAAAAGATCATGAGTCAGGATAAGGAAAAATCATTATTTTGAGTCCCTATCCAAGATAAGATCTAACATGTGCCAAGTCTCTGGACTGTACAAATAACAGTGTTAAAAACCTTTTCAGAAATGAGAAACAGTATTACTTTTTGTTAGTTTTCGACTGACTATGACCTTTGTAACCATATCTACCCAATGCTGTGATACATGTTAAGACCAAGTAATGCAGCACCCAACATCTAGAGGCTTGTGCTGAATATGTACTGCATCAATCTGCATCAGCATCACTCATGTACATACACCAGATGGAAGTATGGATAGTTATCATTAAAGTGACAGTTTAACACTAGGGCTGGGCTCTTGTTACAGACAAAACATTGACACACAAAACATATTTCTGTGAGAGGTCTTACAAATTGTTTCAGGCCACCCAGCATCCACCTCCCTAACTGACAGCACCTCACTGGGGTCTCCTCTCCTGATATTTGGATACTAAGAGCCAGTAAAATACATCATGTTATCTCAGTTACAGATTAATCCAGGGTGTACTAAGTCAGGGACATTTTGAAAAAAGAAGTTTATGATATCAAAACTTGCCTGTCCTGGAGACCTGGACCAGGTTCACGGCAAAATTGTCTTTCAAACTATATAATGGATATAATAGAAGTCATTTTTGAAAGTATAAATGTTTATCATTGACATTTGCTTGGACATTGTGATATGACATATATAAGTTACCAGTATCAATTGCTATAGGTGTGTTTAGGTGAGCTAAAAACAGCCACATTACCCTGTGTAAAAATGATAAAACAACTGAAAACATGTTTACATTGAAAAGCACCGAACCTGAGAATAACAATTGCAAAGACTACATCATGAAACAGTTCAGGTTTAGATAAATATCAAAATAAGCCAACTGAGCTGCGTTTTGTATAAAAGTCATCAGCACTGTCCAAGCATTAAAACCAAGAGCAGAAGTAAGTCCAAATACAAAATCATTTGGAGGTCAGTCACCATTATATAGCATGAAAGTCCCCCGTTGAGTGAAATACATGGGCTGTAACGTAGCAGCTGCCCTGATGAAAGCTGACGATCAGCTAATACGTAAAGCAATGCATTACAAAACTATCTTAACAGTAACAATCCCTGAATACACAGATCTGTGAGTGTGAATATATAAGGGGCATGCAGGATGAAGACGGCTTTAATCTCAGTACAATACACCACAAGTTTAGATACAATCCTGTGAAATGTTTCTGCACACACTTCACCATATTATGCATGATACCATCTGAAATGTCAGCGCTTATAAACAAATAAACCTTTTCAACCAATGTAAAACGTTGTGGCTTATCAAAAGGGCAAAGAGAATGTCTCTGCAATCCAGCTTTCTATGATGCAAGTTGAAATCTACTGTCAATATGCTGTTGACTATCTACCATCTATGCAGACATGTAACTCTGGAGGCTACGACTGGATGGCTCTAGTGAGAGCAGATTGCTGTTTATGCCTTGTCAACTAGTTGTAGTTACTTCTGTGTCCTGTTGGACAGGACCCTATTTAGGAGCTGTCTGGACTAGTCACTCTCTTGCCTGTGTCAAAACTGGCTTCCCTCTCACAGCCAGGGCTGCTGGCTTCCCCCTTGTTGCTCTCATTGCTAGGGCTCCAGTGGAATGAGGGTTGTACAGAATGTCGTTCAAAGGATCCCTGACTACCCATGCTGACCAACTGGCTGCGTTTGGTGATTGTGTTCACTTCTCCACGGAGGAACTGCTCCAGCTTGTCTACACAGGCATCCTGGTAGTCATGGATCCACCTGAAGATAAACAGTTCACCTGTCTGTCAGTCCTAGCAACTATATGCACTCATGTGAACATCAGCAATCAAAATATGAAAGGTCATAGTATTTCGGCAGTGTGAATGATATTTGAGCCAAATTAGACCATAATTATGCTAATGTAATACCAACATGAGACTTACTACAAGTGTACTGTAACCTAGTCAGCTTTAAGCCAGATATAGATCCAAGCTGAAGTGATGGAGTCATGTGACAACATCCGGCTGATGTCGGTAATGTCTCAGGATGTGTCAGAGAAATTATACAATAGACATTGCCTGTTATATTCACAATTTCTTGAACATTGTTTCCCAACTATACACATGCTACATGATTGTGTTCACAGTATGTAGTGACAAACTTCACATGTTTGATAAGATCTTCACATTTTGCATACTGTATCACTATAGATTCAAAGACGATTTATGAGAATAGTAAATTACGATTGTGGTTGTCTCGGGATTTGGGGGTAAATTTATAGTTAAAGTAAGTAGTGGGAGGGTCAGCTTAAGGGGATTGGGTGGGCGGCTGAGGCAGTATATACCTTTGTAGTCACCTATTGTAGAAGCTTCTGTCCAAGCAGGGATAGTTGGCTGAGGCAGTATATACCTTTGTAGTCACCTATTGTAGAAGCTTCTATCCAAGCAGGGATAGTTGGCTGAGGCAGTATATACCTTTGTAGTCACTTATTGTAGAAGCTTCTATCCAAGCAGGGATAGTTTGCTGAGGCAGTATATACCTTTGTAGTCACCTATTGTACAAGCTTCTATCCAAGCAGGGATAGTTGGCTGGAAGATGTGACAATGTCACGTGCATGCTCAGCGAGGCGGCAGTCATGTTGGAGAACCAAGACATAAGGTGCATGGTCATTGGCTGTGTTCCTCATCATATGGTTCATGTGCCAGTTATATATTTCTGCTCTGGGTAGGGAATCATCAGTTGTCCCAGCTTCCAGTATCAGCTGTCATAGGTTACTCCCACATCTGGCATCAACACAGCTCTTATATTTTACTTGTTTTTCCAGGGACAGATTAGATCAGTCATAGCGGTGGATGGGGGAGAAATAGAGTAGGATTAAAATAAGGTGTTTTGGGATATTTTACTTTGGGTAGTAGATTAGCAGGTTGGACATAGTGTAAAGTTAAATATCTTAAGAGTTGGTTTGTCACATTTTACATAAGTAGGGGAGGGGGAGAAATATGTAGGTTTTTCACAGACAGGTATGCTACTTACTTTTTTGTTGGTAATAAAATGAATTAAAACTTTATTCTTGTGTTGTCTATAATGAGAAGAGGATAAGTAGGCGAGGAATACTGTACAGGAAATAAAGACAACACAACACAAAGCATCACAGTACCCACCTGACCTTTACAATACATATCAGCTTTGTCCTGATGTCACTGGGCCAGGTGCCTATTACACTCAGGTGGAATAAACGTCAATGGTCACACAATCACAAAGAACAGACAGTGGACATGTTAATAAAATGCAGCTGTAAACATAGCACCACGGACATTACCTGATTCCATTAAAGAAGCTGAGGTGTTTCATGTCATCTGGCAGGAGGTCTGGTGACGGCCATTCAAAGTTATCCATCACTGGGATAATGTTGCACTTGTTCTCCAATGCAGCAACAATCTCCTTTAAAAACAAAGGAGAAACATTTCAAGGTTTGGAGTGGTGCTAACAAATCTTTCGTTTCTGAAAACATAGTCAACATTACTTAGTCATCAGATGTTAACAACAATGACTATCTTGTGCTGCTCAGTCCTTGCTGTTACAATATATCCTTCTGCTGTTACAAAAACATCCTTCTGCTGTTACAATAATATCCTTCTGCTGTTACAAAAACATCCTTCTGCTGTTACAATAATATCCTTCTGCTGTTACATTAATATCCTTCTGCTGTTACAAAAACATCCTTCTGCTGTTACAATAATATCCTTCTGCTGTTACAAAAAAATCCTTCTGCTGTTACAATAATATCCTTCTGCTGTTACAAAAACATCCTTCTGCTGTTACAATAATATCCTTCTTTCTGTTACAATAATATCCTTCTGATGTTACAATAATATCCTTCTGCTGTTACATTAATATCCTTCTGCTGTTACAAAAACATCCTTCTGCTGTTAATATCCTTCTTTCTGTTATATATCCTTCTTTCTGTGCACAATAACATCCTTCTTGCTGCTACACTAATATCCTTCTTGCTGTTACAATAATATCCTTCTTTCTGCTTTACAATAATATCCTTCTTTGCTGTTACAATAACATCCTTCTTGCTGCTACACTAATATCCTTCTTGCTGTTACAATAATATCCTTCTTTCTGTTACAGTAATATCCTTCTGCTGTTACAATAATATCCTTCTTGCTGCTACATTAATATCCTTCTTGCTGCTACACTAATATCCTTCTTGCTGTTACATTAATATCCTTCTTTCTGTTACAATAATATCCTTCTTTCTGTTACAATAATATCCTTCTTGCTGCTACATTAATATCCTTCTTGCTGCTACATTAATATCCTTCTTGCTGTTACAATAATATCCTTCTGCTGTTACAAAAACATCCTTCTGCTGTTACAATAATATCCTTCTTTCTGTTACAATATTCTTCTGCTGTTACAATATCCTTCTTGCTGCTACATTAATATCCTTCTTGCTGCTACACTAATATCCTTCTTGCTGTTACATTAATATCCTTCTTTCTGTTACAATAATATCCTTCTGCTGTTACAATAATATCCTTCTTGCTGCTACATTAATATCCTTCTTGCTGCTACACTAATATCCTTCTTGCTGTTACATTAATATCCTTCTTGCTGCTACACTAATATCTTTCTTGCTGTTACACTAATATCCTTCTTGCTGTTACACTAATGTCCTTCTTGCAGCTACACTATTATCCTTCTTGCTGTTACATTAATATCCTTCTTGCTGTTACACTAATATCCTTCTTGCTGTTACATTAATATCCTTCTTTCTGCTACACTAATATCCTTGCTGTTACACTAATATCCTTCTTGCTGTTACAATAATATCCTTCTTGCTGTTACACTAATATCCTTCTGCTGTTATTAGTGAACATACTCGTGTTAACAAGTCCCCTCCAGGACATTATATAAGGGAACATTCTGCAAAGTTTCAACTTCACAGACCATGTAGTTTTAGAGGAAATGTAAACATTCTAAAGGGGCACTGATATCTGGTTACAACCCAGCACTCTGACACTGGAAAGAGAGCTGCAATCAATATGGGCAGTTTGATGATTTGCTGGTTGAAAAAAACATTCATGACAAGAGACTGAGCTTTAGTCTTGCAATGACAGTGTAATACCCAATGTTGTAATGAGACATTTCTGAACACTGGTTGATTAAGCAATGATCCAGGAAGAGAATCCAATCAAGGTTAAACATTGGACAGAAGTTTGGTTCTAGTCACATAGTACAGTTACTACTTTGTCTGCTTGGTGTGTTATAAAAACATAAGCATAGTATTTCACTCTTTTAACACAAGGCACTAAGTACAGTATCTGGGTGCATCATAAACTTGCACTACACAAAGACATAACAGAAACTTGCCTTGTGAACCCAGTCCTTCTTGTCCACATCTCCAAGACAGCGGTCAAGCGCATTTGAAGTTAGAATCAGAATGAAGTTTTTGGCCATTTTAATGCTATACAGCAGGTTCTCATCAAATTTGCCTGCACGAAGCCTTTCAATGTCAATGAAGACAGAGAAGCCACGAAGCTGTAGATGGACTTTGAGGAGGCTGCAACAAAGTAGGTTTATATCCTAACATATACGTACCATGCACTGAGAAGATATCTCACACACTCGCATTAGTGTCTCATCATACAATTATATACTGAAATACTTCACAAAAATGTACCACCATGATAAAACATTTAATCTCCGTGATGAAAGCAGAAAAGAACTTGTTCCTGTTGACACTAAAATTGTAAAACAAGATGGAAACACAAAATCAATCGTTCATTATTTAGTGCAACCATAAATTAACTTCAATTTCACATGCATGCAAAACTTTCAGACAGTCAATGTCAGTAAGGGGTAAGGCCATCATTTACGTGAGCACAGCCACGGATGGACAGGAATGTTGTTTTACTGAAGAAAGTGCATGCTGTGTTTAGCAGTTTGGGATCATGCATGATCCTGTTGCAAAATGTGTAGACGCTGATCTGCCGCCATGCAGGGAACGGCTGTTGTTCTCAGTACCTCTGCTGTATACATTGCAGGTATAACTGAACCACGACAGAGGTGTAGATGTGTCCTGTCATGACCACCAATCCTTCCCCAAATCAAAACGATTCCATCAACCCAGCTGCTGAACTCAACAATCAGCATTACATTCTCCACTTGGATGCCAGATTCAGATCCTTCCATCCACGTGACAGAGATGAAATCGGGACTCGTCAGTAAAGACAACATGTACACGCCAGCAGATGTAATCGCTGTCATACCGTCTGTGGACTGATGATACCCCTTCGTCCATGAATAGTAGTGTCTGTTCTGGAGGCTGGCTTGAACCAGTCCCTTAAATGAGTGAAGAAATGATCTTGGGGTGGGGTTGTGACACATGGTTGCCTTGGGTGTAGTCGATCACAAGTTGTGCCAGTTTGTCAAAAGTGTTGTGATAACCTGACGATTTTTGTTTTGTGACAACTAAACCTTCTGGCCACTTGACCTGTAGACAAGCCAGTCTCAAGAAAGTAAACAGCTCCTTTTCTCTCAACAGCTGATAAACGTGGCATTATGTATAGTCAACAATTTAGAGCTGTTCAAAATTTTCGGTGTGATTTTGGTACATAGTTGGATGATCTGTCGATGTGTTGTGGACCCGCCACATATTATGCATTTTCATGTGATTTGCAGGTTTCTGAGGGTTTTCAGCAAATGGTGGGTCACGTGATCACAAAGGAATGCACATGCTTCACGGTGTGCATAACATTTATCTGTCATTATCAGATTACCGTATGTTACCACAGATGAGGCAAATTTTGAGGACCAAATAATGCAGTGTGTAGAAGGGTGTCGGCTTATCTACAGGTTGCACTTTCGTCAAACTTATTTTCAGGGGGTAAGAAAATGACATCGTATCACTTCACGTGAACAAACAAGAGAAGACGACTTAGTAAAGACATCAAATTTACAATTAAACATTGCCAAAAAAAGATTATTTACCTTTTCAGTTCTAATTTGATTTTGCTAGGCATTGTCTTATATGCAGGGATTAAGATTACTGTGTGTATTTGTCTTGTATACGGGACTGGAAATAGCAATCAGCTGTGCACACATTTCCCCAATCTACCAGCGATTTAGTTAAAACATACCCAATAATATAACATGATTAATTTTTATGCAGTGATCAGGAAACTATTGCCAAGAGAAATATATTCTAGCATTGTGTCATTTTATTTTTCCTTATCCTGACTCATGATTATATGCTTGTCTCCTTCTTCCATCCGAAAGATTGTGGAACACTTGAAATCCCTTGAAGTTCCCTTCAAAGAGGAGGACGTAAAATCATTACCCACCCACTAGTAGCCTCCCTTGCCTTCCAAAATTGGTGCCGTTATAGGTCACATGACCGGCCATGTTTGTCACTCTCTCCTTCATCGCCCTGGAGGATGGTTCTGAAGGCACCTGGGTCCCTATACGGCAATTTTTCTAGTATATTTTGACCTTTTTACATCTAAATTTCAGCTGTATACGTTTTTTGGGCTTATATATTATCAAAATGTTGTGAAATTATATCATAATTTTACGTATTTTGAACGTTGTTGTACTTGTGTTTCATCTTATGTTTTTTGTTTACATTTGATAACAACGTATTTTCTGTTGTAGGTACAGGCTGTCTGCGGCTGAGCCGCATTGATTATGTCTATTTTGCACTATTACATGTTCTTCCGGCTCTCTCGTTGTAATATTTGTCAAAAATTATTGAATTTTGAAATGAATAATTACATTGTGTCCGTTCATAGATGTGCAAAGAACTGGGTAAGAATGTATTCTTAAGTCATCTCTGGTAAATCAAATGATTGCGCTATTAACCGTGTGTTGGTTACTTATTTATTGTTCACTGTTGCAGTGAATAGCCGAGTGTTTCCACGGGGGCAGACGTTCGTTCCAGCCTTGGTCTCCGGTTCCTCCATGAAGAGATCGGCGTCAGCAGAGCTGTCATCACAGACGGAGATACACAGATCATCATCGTCGCAGAAAAAGACATCAGCAGCTCCTAAGACTTCATCGAAGTCTCTACTTAGATCTACTTCGAAGACCAGGTCTTTCTCTTAGGAGATTGTACCTCCGGAGGAAGCGGACGTCTTTGATGACCCTCTCATTCTGTTACCTATGGTAACAATCATCAGTAGAACATCGCAGCCTGCTGCTACACATACATCAGCGAGATCAGCAACTGCGTCAGCGCAGATTATGATTGAAGACCTCCTGTCAACGCAGATATCTGGTACCAGAGACGCTTACAGCGTCAACTCTTCTCAACTACGTCTAGAAGAGACATCAGCATGCTCTTAAGCATCATCTACCCTGCAACAGTTGCAGCTTACGTCGCGAAACTTCGACCCGGGATTGTTCATGAAACAATTCACGGAACAGATGATGTCTCTGATGGAGCGCAGATTTGCGCAGGAGACAGCTGCTACTAAGACACCTCCTAGATCTACCAGCCTGCATGATGGCACAACAGCTTCTACAGCTGTGTTGGATGAAGAGGAAGGCCCACACTCCAGGAGATCTTCATCGTCCGAAGTTAGGAGTTTAGACAACTCTACGTCAGGTGAGATGCTTCACACAGAAGCGCATCAAGTCATTCTCCAAGAACCTTCCATCTTCACAGATAAGGATCGTCGTCACCATCAGACTCAGAGCCTTTGCGCAGGCAACCTTCACCTCAAAGGGAAGACCCTACGTCAAGGAATCAACTTGCACGAAGGCGCAGATAGTTTACACAAGACACTTGGAGGGATCCCCGTTGGGAGCATCCTCGTTTAGAAGACCCTAGGAGGGACACGCACCAGGGCCGTTCACCTGTGCGCAGGTCTGCACACAGGGACATACGTCGTTATGTGAAATGCATAGAGGTCTTCTCCTGACAACAGATTAAATGTTATTTATCTGGGGGCTTGCAGTAACAAGTGACAGATGGGTTTTGCCCGCGGCAACCAGTCTACTATAAATCGTCTTCACATCGATGTCAGCTCGCTTTCAAGAGATATCGTTGGTGATCTGAAGACAAAGAATGACGCATCATTGCTGCATATCGTCGAGATTCCGGTAATAACATCTTCATTACCGCTGACAGCAGATTTAACGTTGTTTATCTGGGTGTTTTCAGTAACAAGTGACAGTGCTTTTAACCGACGACGGGATGCAAGTTCATCAAGAAGCCAGTCAACTCAGACTGCAACTAGATTTCACCATCAGATTACTCACTCAGCTAGACTGGCTAGTGAATCTTCTCAAGTCGGAGTTAGAACCAAAGCAGGATCTTCAATTTCTAGGAATCCGATTCATCACGATGCAATATCGCATAGTCGTACCAGAAGATCGTTGGGCCAAAATACAAGTCATGATATCTCAAGCAATGCTCTCTCCGTAGACACTTTGCGCTTGGCAATGTCTGCTCAGTCTAATGACCTGAGCTCAAGACATGACTTGCAGAGGGAGGTTACAATTGCGCCCACTACAAAGATTTGTGAACGCTCACCTGAACAGTGTGGATCTGCTGATATTACCAGACGAACTGAAACCATACCTATTATGCTGGACTCAGAAGTCTAATGTTTGTGGAGGAACCTTTTTGACAGAGCCGGCCTGCAACACTTATCTTTACGTAGATGCGTCGCTTCAGGGATGGGACGCTCACCTCGACAACGAAGTGGCAGCAAGGAAGTGGACGAGCCAGGATCAACTTATCCACATCAACCAATTGGAGATGAAAGTAGTGATCAACGCCTTACAACACTGGGCGAGGACACTGAGGAACGCAATGATAATGGTCCACACGGACAACTCCACAGTAGCGGTTTACATCAACAAACAAGGATCAACAAGATCAATAACTTTGTTAAACCTCTCCCTTCATCCTGTTCAACATCCTAGATGATCTGAACATCTACATAAAGGCGTGTCACATTCCAGGAGCAAAGAATGTTATGGCAGACGCTCTATCTCGTCCACTACAACCATCCCTGACGAAATGGATGTTACACCCAGAAGCATTTCGGCTCATCATACAGACAATAGGATTCCCCTTGATAGACCTGTTTGCAACAAAGTTCAACAAACAGTTACCAACATTCGTCTCACCGGTACCAGATCCTCAGGCTTGGGCAACAGATGCTCTAAGCATATCATGGGAGGGACTAAACGTGTACGCGTTTCCACCTCCAGTATTACTACCACAGGTATTAAAGAAAATCAAACAGACGACAGCGCTACAACTGATTTTGGTCGCTCCCTATTGGCCAGCGAGGGTATGGTTTCCCATCCTCATTCAAGAACTAGGAAATCCAAGTTTGAAACTACCAGAGTGGTCGAACCTTCTCGTCCATCCACACACCAAGCAAGCTCACGGGAACCCGTCAGCATTCCAACTTCACGATGGACTGTATCAAAGCTTGCCTAAAGAAAAGAGGGTATTTCACCAGAGCAGCTAAGGCAGTAACACTTGCTCTACGTAGATCAACTAGCTCGTTATATGATGACAAATGGAAGAGGTTTGAACTCTAT